TATTTACCTCAATCTTCAGATCTTTCAGCAAGTTCAGAATCCACACAGCTTGACATGCAGTCAGAGCACCTGCAATATACTCAGCTTCACAGGTTGACAGAGCAACGACAGGTTGCTTCTTGGAACACCAAGAAATAGGACCTCCCATAAATTTGAATAAGTACCCAGAAGTACTTCTTCTGTCAACTTTATCTCCACACCAATCAAAATAACTCAAGTTCTGATTCGATCCTTTTTTCAGACAGAAATAACACTCCATATTTCAGAGTTCCCTTCACATACCTCAGAATCCTGACTGCAGCTTGGTAATGGGACCACTTTGGTTTGCTCATAAATCTGCTAACTATTCCAACTGCACAACAAATATCAGGTCTGGTATTACACAAATATCTTAGAGAACCAACCATCTGTTTGAAGGTTGTAGCATCCACATCCTCTCCATCAGAATCAGAATCTAACTTCTGATTCTTATCAGCAGGTGTGATAGCAACCTTACAATTTTATAGCTCAAATCTCTTCAGAAGCTCTAGTTCATACTTCATCTGATGTAAAATGATTCCTTTCTCAGAGTATATAAATTCCATCCCTAGAAAGAAACTCATTTTTTCAAGATCTGTCATCTCAAACGCATACATCAGAACTTTCTTGAACTCAGCTATCTCTTGTTCAAAACTTCCTGTGAGTAATATGTCATCAACATACAAACATACCAGAATCATATTACCTTCTGAAGTGTGTTGAACATAAACACCATACTCTATCTCACACTTCTAAAACCCTTGTTCCTTGAAAAATGAATCAATTCAAGTTCCAAGCTCTGGGCGCTTGCTTCAATCTATACAATGCTTTGTGTAATTTGAACACCATCCCTTCCTGATTATTTTTCTCAAATCCAGGAGGTTGTAAAACATACACCTCTTCTTGTAATGGACCATTCAACAATGCAGATTTTACATCTAAATGCATCAGAGGCCAATTCCTGTTAGCAACTATTGCAATCACTAGTCTGATTGTTTCATGTCTCGCTCCAGATGCAAACACTTCAAAGTAATCCAGCCTAGGCTTATGTAGGAAGCCTCTTGCTACTAATCTCGCTTTGTGTTTGCCAATTGATCCATATGGCTTTAGCTTCTGCTTGAAAACCCATCTGACGCTGATGGCTTTCTTGCCTTTTGGAAGTTCTGTCAGCTTCCAAGTCTTGTTTCTCTCTATAGCATCAAGTTCTTCTTTCATGGCCTGTAACCAAACTTGGTGCTTAAGAGCCTCTTCCGTACTCATGGGTTCAGAGTCTACTAACATTGCACACTGAATAACTTCTCCTTCAGATTTTACTTCAGTGTCAAGCAACATGTCAAACTCTGCAAATCTTCTTGGGATGCTTCTGACTCTTTGTTGCCTCTGAACTGGACCTTCAGAACCTTGGACACAAAAACTTCCCCCTTCAGAAGATCTTCCTTCATAGTTTTGACTTTCTCCAGAACCTTGACTTTCTTCAGAGTCTTGAAAATTCCCAGAGTCTGAATCATCATCAGAGTCAAAGCCACTACCTTCAGAAATAACATCTTCAAAAGTTGGATCACCTCTACCTTCAAAAGTTCCACTTTCAGAATCATGATCATCGTCAAAGGCTGAATTTCCTTCAGAAGCTCCTCCTTCAGAAGGTCCAACCTTAGAGTCATGATTTCCACCAGAAACTTGATCATCTTTAGAAGCTTGTCCTCCAGAACCTACGTCTTTAGAGTTTTCCCTTCCATAAGCATGATCACCACCAAATTCTGGATCATCATCAAAATCTGGATCAGAATAAGATTCACCATCTGACTCACCTTCAGAGCTTCCAAAGTCATCATCTTCTGACTCTTCTTCAGAAGCAGAATCTTCTTCAGACTCAGAATCACCTTCGGATTCTGACTTGTCTTCAGCTTCAGAGTCATCTTCTAACTCTAACTCGTCTTCAAAAACCTCAGATTCTGATTCATCTTCAAAATATTCAGCGTCATCTTCTGATTCTGACTCGGAGTCATATTCTGATTCTGACTCATACAAAATCACTCCTTCAGAATCAGAATATTCAGAGTCATATTCTTCTTCCCCTTCAGAATCAGAAAATGACAATTTCACTGGTTCCTCATCAAATTCTGATGCAAAGGGTAATCTTGGTTGCTTCCCTTCCATGCACACCTTGCATGACTTTTCAGGCTTCTTGATTGTAGGAATTCCATGTACCAGATTCTTTGATTTCATATGCCCTAAACTTCTGAAATTCAGATGACCAAATCTTTTGTGCCACAGCTCACTCTCCTTGACAACACTTGTTACACTAATACATTCAGAGTCTTCAGTTCTAACATTCACCTTGAATGTTCTGTTCCTTCCCTGTTCTGACTCCATAATCAGCTTCTGATTACAGTCATACAGCTTCAGGAGATTGTCCTTCATGGAAACTGAAAAACCTTTCTCAACAAGTTATCCCACACTCATCAGATTGCTTTTCATGCCAGGTACATACCAAACATTCTGGATCACAGCTGCTTTCCCATTGTTTAGAATGATTCTGACATTTCCCATACCTTCTGCATTGAGGTATTTGTCATCAGCACATCTGATCTTTGTACTCTTCCCAGAGTCAAAGTCAACCAACCACTTCTTGTTTCCAGTAAGATGGTTTGAACACCATGTGTCCATATACCATCATTCTGATGAATTCAGATCATCAGATTCAAAAGCCAACAATAGCACAGGTTCATCGTCAGAGTCTCCTCTTGCTATATTTGCTTCTTCTGACTTCCTTTCTTTGTTGGACCAGCAATCTCTGGCATAGTGACCAAAGTTCTTACAACAGTAAAACTGAACATTCTTCTTGTCAGACTTCTCTTTTCCCTTCTGGACATTCTTCTGCCTATCAGAGTTTGAAGCTTCTAACTTTTGACCACCATTAGTTCTCTTCCTGGCTTCTAACCAAGTCTACTTCTGATGCTTCTTACCAGAAGTTACTTTCAGAGCCTGCTGCTCTACTTCCCTCTCAGAAGTTCTTGCAGTCATACACAACTCATGCGCCTCAAGACTACTTTGCAGCTCTTCAACTCTCATGGTGCTCAGATTTTTGGAATGTTCAATTGCTACAACAATGTAATCAAACTGAGAAGTTAAAGATCTCAAGATCTTCTCAATAATTACTTGTTCAGACAGAGTTTCTCCACATGCTTTCATCTCATTAGTAATCAAAATCACTCTAGAGATGTATTCAGAAACCTTCTCGTTGTCCTTCATGTTGAGATTCTCATATTGCTTTCTGAGAGACTGAAGCTTCACCTTCTTCACTGATGTGTCACCACCGTAACATCTGACGTGTGTCCCACGCAGCCTTTGCTGTTTCAGAATCAACAATCTTCTCAAACACATTCACATCCACACATTGATGGATGTAGAACAACGCTTTCTGATCTCTCTTCTTCAGCACCTTATGTGCTATCTTCTGGTCCTCTGTTGCATCTACTTCTAACAGATTATAGTCATCAGTAACAAGATCTAACACATCTTGAGAACCAAATAACACGCGCATCTGGATCTTCTAACGATTCCAGTTTTTGCCATCAAATACTGGAAGCTTGGAATAAATATCGCCGTTTTCGTTCATCTTTTACCTTGTGCAATTTACGCAGAAACTCAATGAAAAATCAATGTTTCCCAAATTCCATAGTTTCTAACCAGGAGCTCTAGATACCAATTGTTGGAGCACAAGGAAGATAAAAGACAAAAGGAATATTTACTGATAGCTTCAAAAATAAGGATTTATAATGAATTACAATAACCTACTCCACTAGGCTATTTATACACACAAATTAAATCTAAAATATATCTTCTACAAAGATATAAGAAGATCTAAGATATATATTTTTTAACAAAGATATAAATAATCTAAAAAATGTTCCTAAATATAAATTAATATCTAATTAAATCTAAATTAATTCTAACATTATGTTGTCATATTTTTGAATTTAAAAGAGGATTGTATAACATGATTCTAATGAAGACTATATAACATGAGCAAACTTTTCTTCATTTATCACAAGTCACAAACTTTTTTTCTGCTAGCACTGTATAAAACATGAGCAAAGAAGAATTTTTGAAGATACAGGTACTACTCTCATCCATTCTCCATGTGTTTTTACTATTTTTCTTTTGTCCAATTTCAAAAACTTATCATAAGTTGGCTTGTAGTTTCAGAAATATGTTCTTAAAGTGAACATACACTGTGATGGATGTAAACATAAAGTGAAGAAAATCTTGATAGAATATAATTTTTCAATTTTAATTACGATTTTATATTTTACTATCTTGATTTCTCCTATTAATTCTATCAAATGAGTTGAATATTGATATAATCATGAAATAATAACCAAAATATTAAATATTAACGAAAATATTAAGTTATTAATTAAAAATATTTTTTTATTAATTATATATTCAATTAACTTTCTTCTTTAATTAACAATATAAAATGACATGAGTAGATGTATTTTATTTATTTTTTTATTAAAAAAATATATTTTTAACAATATCGAGATTTAATTTATATATTTTTTTATATATATTTCTTAACAATCATAATTATTTAATTATTTAATTATTTAATTTATTTTTTATATCAAAATGTAAATTTTTAATAGGTTAAAATTATTTAATTTATATTAATTTCTTAATCATTACTATTTATATTTATTTAAAATGAAAATAAGTGACCTGTGCAAACGCATAAGTATTTTATTAATAATTTGTTACAAGAATTTTTTTTCTTCTTATAAATTGGTACTGAATAGGATATATAATAAGGATAGGATAGCACAAAAATAGCATGCAAATAAAGACAAAGTGAGTCATGTCTTCTTCACTTCAACCTCTGCCACGTACATCAAAGGTGGCAAACCAAATACTCTTCTTGTCCCTCTTGTTTCCCTGTCGTGTATATGTGTGCAAATTAATCATGTTAAAGTTTAAAAATGAATCCTCATAGTCTATTAGCTTCAGCAGCAATAAACATAGGTTTAGCTTTGATAACACTCTCACTCTTCTCCATCCTCAAGAAGCAACCATCTCTTGCTTCTATCTATTATGCTCACCGTCTCTCACACCATCACTACATCCCTTTTGATTCTTCTGTCCACCGTTTCCTTCCTTCTGTATCATGGATTTCTCGAGCTTACCATCTCACTGAAGATGATTTCCTTCAATCTCATGGCCTTGACGCTCTTGTCATCATCAGGCTCTTCAAATTTGGGTTTGTTAACTCTCACTCACACTCTTATGTTCACTGTTTTTGTTTATAGTTTAATATGTTATTCATTTGTTTTTTGTTTTCAATTTGTAGCATTAACTTTTTTGCAGTGTGCTCTCTTGTTGGATTAGTGGTACTTCTCCCAATTAACTATGGTGGTGTCAAGGAAGTTAGAGATATGAGTTACTCTACTATGGATTCTTTTACTATATCCAATGTACCAAGAGGTTCTAGAAGGTCAGATTTATTCACTTTCAAGCTAATGAAACACGAACACCAGAAACAAACATGACACTGAAACGTTGACACATTGACACCGGATAATAACTTGAAAAAATGACAAGTGTCAGTGTTGGTTTCAGACACCCTATCCAATTTGGACATGGACATAGCATTCAGACTAAGCTATATGGTTTCATGATTTTGTAACAGGCTTTGGGTGCATTTTGCATGCTTATGTTTTATATCTTTCTATGGGATGTATCTACTCTATAAGGTGAAGTTTTCAGTTATTTTAATATATAGTGGCATTTATGTTGGAATAGCTATGTTTCTATGTGAATTCATTATTCGTTCAAGTTAATATTGTAATTGCACTCATGCACATTTCATCTCCAGGAATACAAAGAAATTTCGATTCGAAGGATGCAGCAGCTTCAAAGTTTAAAGCGTAGACCAGATCGATTTACTGTCGTAGTTCGTGAAATTCCATTATGCCTTGAACACAAGGCTTATGATTGCTGTGTTGATCATTTTTTCTCTAAACACTATCCCAACACTTACTATTCCTATCAAATGGTGTACAATACTGAAAATCTTGACGAGTTGATGGTACTTATTACACTTCAGAATTCTCACAATGATTTTCATGTAGAAAAACCAGGTTTTTTCTCGAGTGCGTAATGGGTCCTTTAATATATTTTTACATGTAGGATCAGACAAAGTCTCTAGAGAGAAAAATAGAGGATTTGAAAGAGACTTCCATGGCAAGGAAACATAAGAATAAGATGTTTCTCTTGGATACTTCACAACAACAGACTTCAAAAGTAGGTCTACTTGAGGAAAAGCTTCATGCACTTCGTCACAAGATTCACCAGTTACAATGCAAAGACATGCTCAAGAAAAAGGTAACAGTTTATGTTTAACATACAGTTATAATTTTCTGTTTACAATCGCAATTTAAAGGTTTCAGAAGTTTCTGCTTTTGAGTAGCTGTGTTTTCCATCTTTGAAAATGGATCATTGAAAGTTTTATTTGTTGTTTGATTATAAAATCTGAAAACAAAGAATCTTGATCTGTGTTAGGAGTTGCCTGTCGCTTTTGTTACATTCAAGTCGCGTTCTGCTGCAGCAGTAGCGGCTCAATTGCAACAGCATTCACATCCACTTCTTTGGGTCACTGAACTTGCTCCAGAACCAAGGGATGTTTCATGGAGGAGTTTGAGAGTATCCTACAGAGCTGTACCACTATATAGACTCGGTGTTGTCATTGCAGCGTCGCTACTAACGGTTTTCTTTGCGATACCTGTTACTGCAGTTCAAGGAATAGCCAAATATGAGAAATTGAAGAAATGGTTTCCCCCAGCTATGGCTGTGCAGTTGATGTGAGAATCTTACACTCTAGCTCTTTCAATAACGAACAATTTTGTGAACATTTTCCGATATATATAAAGTATAGAATGTGTTTCCTTATCTTAAACTGACATGCTTCATATTGTTCATTCTTTAGACCAGGACTAAGCTCTATAGTGACAGGATATCTTCCGAGTGTTGTACTCAAAGGATTTATATACGTTGTGCCATTTGCAATGTTTGCTATGGCTAAAGTAGCTGGATGTGTTGCAAGAAGTAAGGAAGAGATCAAAGCCTGCAACATGGTTTTCTACTTCTTGGTCGGAAATGTGTTCGTTGTGAGTGTGTTATCGGGATCTCTTCTTGATATAATCGGAAAATTCATTAGCCATCCTAAAATTATTCCAAGTGAGCTTGCCACAGCAGTCTCTGCCCAAGTATATATGTTGCCATTTCTATTTTTTCTTTCCATTTTATGTCCAATTCGCACGTCTTAAAATTGGATAATGAGTTTGACTTCTATACTTTTATCTTCAGGCTGATTTCTTAGTTACATACATATTGACAGACGGACTATCAGGGTTTTCTTTGGAAGCTCTCCAACCCGGCTTACTGATTTGGGATACTTTTAAGTCTTGTACTCTTGGATGTCGAAGAGAAAAGAGTCCTTATCTTTATTCATTACCTTACTTTAGAATCGTTCCTTTCGTTTCACTGTCGATACTAATCGGCTTAGTGTATGCAGTCGTGGCGCCATTGTTGCTCCCGTTTCTTATTGTTTACTTCTCTCTAGGCTATGTTATCTATATCAACCAGGTAACTCGATGGCCTCAGCATTACCTAAGTTTGTTTTCTATGAATGATGTCTTAAGCAGTACTCCACAAAACATGATTTTGCAGATTCAAGATGTGTATGAAACTACGTACGAAACATGCGGAGAATATTGGCCATACATTCATAGCTACATTCTCCTTGCAATAATTCTCATGCAGATTACCATGATTGGTTTATTTGGACTCAAGTTAAAACCAGCTGCTTCCATATCAACCATACCATTACTTTTCTTCACACTCACGTTTAATGAGTACTGCAAGATGCGTTTTCTCCCTTCCTTTCACCGTTATTCTCTCAAGGTAAACTTTACTCGCAATCTTTAATGAATAAAATGAATAATATACTATAGTATAGGTTACGAGCACATCAATTACCATTTATGTAGCAATTGGTTATGTATAATTTTATGGTTAGGATGCGGCTGAAAATGATGAACTTGATGAAAAGTGTGGTAGTTTGAACTCGGAGTTCTATGAGAAGGCAGCAGTCAGTGCCTATTGTCCACCGGGTCTACGACCGGTGAGTTTCGCGGCAACAGAGTCGAGCTCCACACCATTAGTTTCTTCATGATCATCTGAATTATTGGATAGATGAATATAACAGATAATATAACAGATTGAATAATCTATGTATGAAGTTAACTATATATAATATCAAATTGAAAAGTTGATATGGTGAATTATGTGAATTCGGACAACCTGTTGTTAGGCATAGTGAAAAATATGAAAATATGAAAATTAATTAAAGGTGCATTTATACTTTATTTTAATTTTAATTATTTCATCATTTTGAAAAAAAAAAAAGGTTTGGATCATCACGAAGTAACTTTTTTTCCCCTCTATATTTCATCTTTTTTCCTTCTTTTCATCTTTTTCATAAACTTCATCATCTCCAAAATCTAAAAAACTCCAAAATCTTCAAATTAAAATTAATAAATTTAAAAAACATATAAATTAAAAAAGTTTAAAACATGTACTTCATAAATTATATTATAAAGTTAACTAAAGTTTATACTTAAATAGATTAAATGAAATCAAAATTTATAAACTTGATGGGTTGTTTAAAGAAACATTTGATAAAATTAAAAATAAATTAATAATTTTTTTTAATACATTTCAAACCAAACTTTTTTTTCTTTGCTCTCCTAGAAAAAGACGTCTAACACAATCGTTTTCCTCTTTTTCAAATGTTCGCGATGCGGTTTGGACGGTTTTAATATTGGTTTGGAAGGTTTTAATATTAAAAATTATCTAAACTGTAAGAAGAAAAAAATGTGCAGTTTGGTTTGATTCAGTTGGCTTTTATAAAAAAATCTAACTAAATCAAATTAATGTGGATCGGTTCAATTCAGTTGGTTTAATTTTTTATAAATATTTTATTGAGTCATACATACACATATAGATGACAATATAATTTTGTATTTAGTCATTCACATACTATTAAATAACAACAAAACTCATTATATTTGAACAATAACTTTATTATTTAATATCTAAAAATTAGATTAGACAAAAGTGTAATAATAAACATAAAATAATAGTATAAAATAATATCAAAAATATTATAATAAAAAAATAGAAGAGATGAGAGATTAGTGATGATGAAAAAGAAAAAAGATAAGAGAGGAGAGATTAGAGAAGAAGATGTGCGATAAAAATGAAATTGAAAGAGGAAACATTTGCATAAAAATGAAAAGTGAAAAATAAATAATAAAAGAGAGTAGAGATTAGAGAAGAAGAGGCAAGATGCATGTGGCGAAGAAGACATGATAATGCTAGAAGAGATTTGAGAAGACTAAAATTGAAACCATAAGTGTAAGAATGAGAAAATTGTCCGTAATCATAAGGTTAAGGTATAATAGGTTTAGGTTTGGGTTGGATGTGAGTTAAGTAAAATTTAGGTTGTCAGATAATGCGGTTTGATTCAGTTTGGTGCTGTAATACGGTGAGAGAATTGATTTTAGGTTTTGCATTTTATCGTAAATGTTGCGGATAGCAAGAGTCACCACCGACTTCTCTATTATCCAATAAAGGAAAGGGTGAAAAGAACAGGAAAGACCTTTTGAGAAATTTTTGAGTTCGGGAGATAGGTTATGAAAAGGGAAGGTGTTAACACCTTTTTCATCTGTAGTTATCTACGGGCTCTTCAGTGCTAGCTCACTTTTGAAATGCTTTGTGCTTGTGTATGTTTGAAAATATTTTGAAAATGCCTAAGCGCGAAAATTTTGTAATGATTCTCGTATCGTTGAGAATGTGTACAAAATGTTTGTTTTGAAAATATTAAGAAAGAAAGTGTTGTTTTATGAAAAAATGTTTTGTTTTGAAGAGTTTGTGAGCAAGCGACTACGAGCGTTCTACCTACTCAAAAAAGTCTTTGTTCTTTTCCTCCTCCTTTAGATAGTGCTACCCTACCATTAGTCAGTAGGAAGCCCTATCATTGGATGTGAGGGACAGACGCAGGTCATCCTCCAGTCATAGAAGGCAATTTGTAGGACGTTTTAGCAATTTTCGTAAGAGACTAAGATCGTTTACTGAAGGCAGCATCGAAGGGTCATCGAGGGACTATGATCTTTTAACCGAGGGTGTTTGCTAAAGCGATCCCACGTTCAAGGGACACGATCGTTTTAAATCTTAGGCAACAAGTAAGGGTCACCCTAGAGGTGCGCATGTGCGAAGTGTTTTGATTTCAAGTATTTATCTTGAGATTAGGTTTTCTAATGCTTGTTCTTTTTACGTCTTGCCATGCACGCTGTGATACGGTGGCAGAATCGACTGTTAAATACTGGTTTGTGTTTTTTGTTTGCAAGTCGCGGTAAGTAAGAGTCGCCACCGACTTTTCTTTTATCTAATAAAGGAAAGGGTGGAAAGAACAGAAAAAGACCTTTTTCGAGATTTTGAGTAAGGGGGTAGATTATGGAAAGGGAAGGTGTTAGCACCCTTTCCATCCGTAGTTTTCTACGGACTTTTAGGTACTTGCTCATTTTTTAAAATTGCTTTCGTATTTGTGTGAAAAAGTTTTTGTTTGAAAAGTGTTTGAAAGTGTGGTATGTAAAAAGAATTGTTTAAGCAAGTACCTAATAGTTATCTACCTACTCGAAAAAAGTTTGTTCTTTTCCTCCTATCCTTTAGACAGTGTTATCCTACTATTAGTGAGTAGGTAGCCCTAGTCGTTGGATGTTGAGGGACTATCGAAAGGGACGTACGGTCACTAAAGGCAACTGGGCAAAAACTCTTAGTAACTGTCCTAAAGCCCTAAGATCACTTTTTTAATCAAGGCAACAGTCGAGAGGATCATCGAGGGACTAGTGATCTCTTAGATTCAAGTACAGCCACTAAGGATTCTCACGTTTCGAGAATTGTGACCATATTCGAAGGCAACCAAAGAGGGAGATATCCTAGGGGTGAGCATGTGCAAGTGTGTTTGACTCTGTTCATTTATCTTACATATTTAGAGTTATCTATGTTCAATTAATCATTATCTTTCATGCAACTCTATTAACCATTCATCTAAGTAGTTTATCGTGCGGGAAAATAAATGGCGAAAAAATAAAATTCCTAACTATTATAGGACTTTGGTGCAATTACATAATTAACGACTGAAAAGTAAAGTGCGGAAATTATAAACTCTAATTAAACTATTACAAACTGGGTGCAGTTACATCAATAATAAAAGTAATCGAATGGCAAAATAATAACGCGCGAGAATTAAAATTGGAGAGAAAGTTTAAAATCCTAAGAATCTAATTTGCTCATTTGAAAATATTTTTGGGTTTTTTTATGAAAAAAAGAATTGAAATTTAACATCTTCTAATTAATTTTAATCGATGAAAATAAATTAAGGTTAATTAAATTAATTAATTGGAGAAATTATTAATAATAAAAAATTAATTCTGAATAAAAAAACTAATATTTTTGATTTTTTGAAGAAAAAAGATTTTGCAATTAAACCTAGGTTCTAATTGATTTTATTTTAAAGAAACAAATAAAAGTAATTATATTAAATTAATTTACAAAATTAATTTTTAATAAAAAACCTAAATCTTATTTTTTGTGATTTTACTGATTTTTATGATAAAAAATAATTTAAAACAAAAGAAATAAAAACTAATAATAATAATAAAATAAAAAAATAGAGAAATTGAGAAATTGAGAAATAAGCCTGAGGGGGTGTGAGCCCAAATTGTGGTTGCAAGCTGAAATTTTGTCCAAGGCCCAGAAGTTGTAAGCCTGTAGCCAACGTGTGATTCAGTGGAGCAGGCTGGGAGATCCATCGTGTGACTGCCATCCTGGAATGTCAGATCTGATATTGATTGATCTGATGGTGATGATGGTGAGACCTATAGTACGCGCATTGAGGTTGGGAGTACAGGATCTGAAAGCAAATGTTAGGAAAAATAATATGCAGGAGGTAGGGGTCGAACCCCTGACCTCCCACACACGCGTGCCTTAAGTTCCTCCAGCCTTGCCATTTGATCCAGCTTATCATTCGTTATACAAAATAAACAAAAATATAATATTGCAATAAAGGGTCTATGTTTGAGAGAAAACGCGTGCAATTCAAATGGCCCACTCATGATACGCCACACCTTCGTCTTCCCCAATGGGCTGTCGTTTTTGCCAACAGACTTTTACCTACGGACATGTCTGTTGCTAAAAACCTGCATATTTTCAAAATTCACCATAGACAATATAAATCTAATGTAAATACATAGATCAATTGGGTTTGATCTCGTGAATACAATGGTATCCTTCTTTTAGCCTAATTTTTCCTGTAATGAAAAATCGTAAAACGGACCTTGAAACTCTAACAATGGCAAGTGGTCAATCACGCATCAAAACAAACAATTAATCATTCAAACATGCTCTAAATGATCATATAAACATGAATGCATACTTACAATTTATTTATAATGCATATATTAGCAAAATCAAATTCAAGAACAAGAAGCAAACTGTGATGCTGTAGATGCTTGTTCTAGACGTCTTGATGCATTCAAATGATCCAGTTAGCTTCCAAATGTGCTCAAGAATTGATTGCAAGTGTCAAAACTTATTGAATCCCTCTACAAAGGTCAAACCGATTGCCACTTTTTGTGAAATTTTTTGAATTTCTTGTGTCAATTTCGTGCGGCCAACCCTTCTTTGTTTGGTCTCGGAATGTTATGAGTATATAATGGAATGAATTAGGTCAATAAAACTGGAAGAAATCTTTAAGAATTATGGAGAAAATATTTGGTTTGCCATGGATATTTTAAGTTTCTAAAATAGGCCAAATCATGCTCTTTTTGTTAAAATTATCCCTTGCACGAAATATTTGATTTTCCAGCTGATTCTAGACCCATCACGTGGTCATAAAAACAAATCTTGAATTTTATTTTATTATCTCACTATTTTATTTGATTTATTTTGATTTTAATGAATAAAAAATCAAAACAAATAATAAAAATAATTAAATAATGTATGAGTGATCTCAAAGGTCGTGGGCCATGTTAGGAACAAGTTTGAAGCATGAAAAGTGGGCCCATTTGAAAAAAAATCTAAGTTTGGTCATTATTTGCTTCATGCACATTT